GAAGCGACACTGCCTGTTGCTCACAGCCTGCTCAGTGTTCAAGCGAGCACATTAGATGAAAAAAACCCCAGGATAGACCCAGCACCATTTTCCTTTGGAAATCTGCAGAGTGCCAAGCACACAGACAGGGAAAGGAACCCCATCCCTTTGACAGGGCAAGGTTTGTAGGAAGAGCCAATATCTTTCATTAGCTCGGTTGGTAGGGTTGGAATAAGTAGCAGACTTTAGGCAAGAAGCCCTCTTCAAGCCCACATCAGAAGCAGCATCTTTCAAAGATAAATGCCCGTTGAGAGTACTTCTTCAGAGTTCAGTCCTGAGGCAGTACTTACTTTAAAGTAGAAATTCTAAGGCTGAAAAACTTTATCTTAACACTACAGATTTCTTTATCGATACAGCTTTTGTTTCACTACAAGTCTTTGGAAAGTCAACATTTTCCACCAATAATTAAGTTTTACATCCTTTCTGTAGAAGCGTGTTGGGAGAAAACATGTTTTTCTGTCCCTCTGTGAAGCAGCTGCTCAAGAGTAAGACATGGTCATGCATACACTATCTAGTAATTACTTTAATAAAATGAATGCAGTGCAGGCTGCCCAGCATAGCTCCCGATTTTCCTTTAGAGACATATCAGGTATTTCTCGGAGTGAAGTTCCTACAGCCTCTCCAGAGCCCCTTCCCTGGATTTTTTAACTCTGTCAAGCTACTTGGTAGTCACTTGGGCCACCAGTAACAAGATCTCTGCTGTCACTCATGATTCCTTTGAGTATTTCCAGCCCCTGTGTTACTACCAGTGCCAGGTGGTGCCAGCACCAAGCACGTCTATTGCTGTGCAAGCCACTGGGGATGAGATATTGCAGCAATGAACAAGGGCTGCTACCTGGCAGCAAGAGAGGGTGTCGCGGACGGAGTGATTAACTTCACTAGTTAGAGTGAAGCAGAGAAAGATTTATTAAGGTGAAACAGTGATTTAACAAAACCAGTAGTAAGTGCGATAAAACCAGTGGTAAATGCGATAGTGTTTTACGAGATTCGATGTCAGGGTACACTCTATTATTACTGCACAGAGGACAAGGTCAGAGACGCTGTCAGGGAGACCCTCCCGTTGAGTCACGAGGTTCAGAAAGGACCCCCTTGCTTTCTAAACTCCTCAGCCCGCTGCCATACAGGAGAGCTCAAAGGGGCTCTTGGGCTGTCCACTATTTATACAGTAAGATAATTGACCTATAGTCATATTTTCATGGCAACAAAATGTCTAGGTCCCCACTCCAGACAGTATTTTGACTCTGCTGCCAGCCATCCCCCAGAGACCGGGTGCAAGTTCTCACAGCTGCTGTTGTGATGGCCGTGGTGGCCAAGGCCGGGCAGGAGCCGAGGTGTGTGGGGGGGCAAACCAGGGAGAGCACACCACCACAGAGGGGTAAAAAAGCTCAGTGTCACTGTGACAAATTGCCCCACCAAATTAAAAGGAGGAGCTCTGATACGAAGAAGAAAGCTGAAGCAGCCACATCAAAATTAAATTTTGAAAGGGCTTGGCTTTGGGAAGAGAGGAAGGGCTTTTCCCACACCTTTGCAAGCCCCACAGGAAAGTGAAGACCCCTCAGACCTGTGCGTGGTGACAGTGAGGGCCCTGCTAGACTCTTTTTTGCCCTGGGGGTTGGAGGATGGAGAGGAGACAGTGGGAACAGGTTGAGGAGCACTGGCCGCTCCCGAGGACCTGTCACTGGATGGAGGTGGGTGATGTGGACACAACCTCCTGCCAGCCAGGCTGGGATGGTGGGAGCTTTCTCCACAGAAAGCAAAACTAGAGTCCCTGGCCTGGCCTGAAGGATAATTTTAGTGCAGAGGGTGAAACCTGACCTTCTCCTTCAGCGTGGCACGGGCTGTGACAGCAGAGCTGCTGCTGCTGTTTCAGGAACGTCAAAGCTGTTTATCGGTGCTGGGCAAGCAGGGGAAAAATTCGGGGGGGGAAGCAGGAGGAGCCCAGCAGGCTCTCCTTTTCTCTCCTTTCCTTTCTTCTCCTTTCCTCGTGCTCGTGAGCCCCTTAGCCTGGCACCACTGAAAGCCTGAGCTGAGCCCAATTAACGGTGACGGCCGGGCGCTGAGCCCACGAGCAGCAGCTCCACGCGCTGTGGGAGCAGGCAGGGGTGCCCAGGGTAAGCCTGCGGGTACATCACACCCAGGCATCATTTTATGGCATGTTGGAAGGCAGAGCTTCCAACGTGTGACACTGGTGCTACCCCAGCAATGCCAACGTCCCCTCAGAGGATGCTGCCCCAGAGCCATCGCCCTAAAGAAGGCAGTGGGGGGGGGGGGCAGGTGGAAAGCAGAATTCCCCTTCCCACTTTGCAGAGTGGGAAAGGAAGGAGCCTGAAGCAGGTTCCCATGGATGGGGTGGTGAGGAGAGGAATTCTTCTGTCCTCTGACGTGCTCAAGACGCAGCAAGCAGCACACACACACACACACACACCCCAAAAGGCACGTATATCCCTGTAGCCAAACATGCAGGTCAGTGGGTTTGCTCACTCATCTGGGAAATGTGCTCTGCTGGGCTCTTTGTCCTCACCTCAAACAAAACATCCTACTCCAACTGTACACGTCATTTCATTCAGCACGCAGTTTCAGGCTCTGTGAGGAAACAGCCGCGTCAAACCCCACGCATCTTGACCACTGGGCACGTTAAACCAGCATGCACTCAAAAGTAATCTTTAGGAATCGACCATGGCAGCTCATCATTCCTATCCTCTGTTTTCTGGGACTACTCGCTGGATCATAAGGTTTTCTCCCTCTCCCCTTTTCCGAGCAGTAAATGCTCAGGGAGTGTTTCAAGAGCCTTCCAAGCTCACCTCATCTGCCACTGTGCCCAAGGGCAGAAGTGACCATTCCATCTGTACGTGCCCAAGCCTGTGCTGTGCACGCAGCCTGCTGAAAAGGTAGCTGAGGGAGACCTGGGGGGTCATTACAGTCAGGGACCTCCATCCTTTTGTGGGGGTGCTATTTGGAAACATTCATTCCTCACGGCTAGGGAGCAGGCAACCAGCTGATGAGAGGCTGAGAGAGCTGGGGTTGTTCAGCCTGGAGAAGAGAAGGCTCTGGGGAGACCTCAGAGCAGCCTTCCAGTGCCTGAAGGGGGCTACAGGAGAGATGGGGAGAGCCTCTTTAACAAGGAGTGTAGAGACAGGACAAGAGGTAATGGTTTTAAATTGGAAGAGGGGAGATTTAGATGAGATATTAGGAAGAAATTCTTTGCTGTGAGGGTGGTGAGACACTGGAACAGGTTGCCCAGAGAAGCTGTGGCTGCCCCATCCCTGGAGGGGTTCAAGGCCAGGCTGGATGGGGCTTGGAGCAACCTGGTCTGGTGGGAGGTGTCCCTGCCCAGGGCAAGGGGTTGGAAATGGATGATCTTTAAGAAGTCACTTCCAACTCTAACCATTCTACAGTTCTATCAATTCATAATATGCTCTTTCTGTTGTGTGGGAACATCCTATGGCTTGTCTCCAGTGCCAGTTTGCGGCAGAGGATGCAGGAGATGCAGGAGCTGCAGGATGAGATGCAGGAGCTGCGCTGAGCCCTCTCATCAGTTGGGATTTCGGGACACTGGCAATTGTCCTGAGCCAATGCTGCTCTCATCTTTGGTCACCTGTGTGTAGTTGAGTTGTTCACGTTTGGTTATGGCTGTCACCATTCTTGTACTTGAGATAGGGCTGCTGGCAAACTTGCAGAGGTTAGGTCCAGATGAGACCCATCAAGGTATTTAGGGGCTGAACTCCCACTGAAATAAATGCAAGTGAGGGTTGTAAATGCCAGTTTGGAAGCTGACTCCACTGACATTAGGAAGTAAAGGGTGGTGGGAAAAGAGATGCTAGGAGTTAAGTGTGAGCACTGGAATGAAATGACCTCCAAGGTGGAAAACACACTGATTTTGTTAGACCGTCCCAAAATAAGAATATTCTATTGTTTAGAGATTTCTCGACTAAAATTCACTTTTACTGTGGATTACTGTATTTCTTCCTACATTCTTAATCAAAGTTGGCACGCCCTGGTAAATGGCAGCGCTTCCATGGTGTGCAACATGGCCTGAATCAGCAAAATCTGGCCCTAATACTAGAGTTAAGCAAACTGTTAAAATAGGAACTGAACCAAGTGCCCAGATCTCCTCCCCAAACTCAAACTAAACCTGTTTTGAGGTTCAGGAATGTTTGGTTAACTTCAAATAAAACAATGTTGTGTTTCTACACATCCTGCTTTCAGCGAAGCCTCCAAGCAGAAATACAAAAATATGGCAGGCAGGTCCATGTTTGCACTATTTCTGGCCCCAAGGAAACCAAGAGGCACTGGAAATCTCACAAAACCAGCTTTGTCTCTCAGACTACCCAGCTCTGAGGGACTGCCACTGTGACCTGGTAGAATACAATGTAATTCATGAACACACTAATATATTATTAATTTTTCAAACAAATTCCCCAGACCATCAGACCTATCAAAGCCCTGTATTTACTGTACCGTGGCAGCACACTATATGGCTACTTTAAGATCCTTTTATGCTCAATTCTTATTGAGCCATTGGCATTGTCTCATAAAGACAAAATGTCTCTTCAGGTGCACAATAACAACCCACAGCCAACGATAACAAAGGTAAGGAACCAGGCACACGCCTTTTGTGCTTCATACTTGGTTAGCAACTAACTTGAAACACATAATCCCAAATTTTTTGGATTGATGTCTCTTTGACAACTCTCTTTATTGAGTTTGCAGAGCGTTAAGTATGAAGACAACAGCCTTGTTTTAGAGGGACACATTTAGCCGTGTAAAACTGCCCCGTATGTCACGACAACATTTTTAAAGCACTTCTGTGCACCAGACTTTTGCACATTCACGTTTAAAGGAACGTTTAATGTTATTGCTAGAAATGGTATCACTGTCAGCAAAACATAACACAGATACCCCGGTTACTCATCTATCTGCTGTACCACAACAATGACATCCCAAACGATACAGTACCACAGTTTCATGTTTGCTAGCCAGATTTATTATATTTTCCAGATTCTAACAAGACACATATTAAGAAATGCCTGTTAATCATGGCCCTAATGAGAACAATATGCAGTTAACATTTAGGTTGTCACAAAAAGTACAGAAGGCAAGTGCAGACAAAATGCACCCTACATTCAAGGAAACCCAATCCTTCTTCCCCCTAGCGTGTTTCACTGAAATGGTGATGTCCGAGAGAAAATTTTTAATGAACTACCTGAATTTTAGCAGGTATATGCTCTCATTGGGCACAAGATAATAAGTAAAATGCCATTCTGACCACAACTGTGAAAGCAAAATATCCACTGTACCCCTTGCTCATGCACAAAAAGCTGTGAGCGTACAAAGCACTAGAAGCCTGCCCAGCATCTCTCCTCCAGAAACGGTGCAAGCTTAACAGTTTTCTGTCAGACATGGTACTATGGGCCAGGAAATTATGTATCCTATTTATGCAGGACTTTCTATCATGGTCAAATTGGATCATTTCTCTTCACTAAAAGTTGTCCTGAAAAATAAATCTGTTTCTGGGGATAGAGTCCAGCAGCCGCTGAGGAAGCGATAGAACTTGGTAACTCTGCCCAAAAACCACACCAGGCTTCCCTGTGTCGTGCTGTTTTCAGCCAGACAACTTCTAGAGCAAACTACTACCCGACACGTGTATGAGGACAAGAATCTGGTTTTAAACAGAGTTGCAAATAATAAATAAAATTCATGCCTAGACTTACAGAACAAAGCAATTCATTTCATTTGGCCAAAGTGCAAAACCCACCACCATTCCACGCTTCTGAGGGCCTGAAGGTGCATGAAGACTTGGTTTGGAATTTGTAAAGCAAAATATGTGCATTTCTGTGCTTGTTTTGGTTATTTATTTGTTTCCCATAAGGAAACTCTCGTTCCACCTGCCAGAAAATGATGCGGAGATGATAGATAAGGTTTGAAATGCTGGCTGAAGAGCACATACAGCAGGCATCAGCGGAGGGGGTGCAAAAGAAAGCAAGATGATTGTCATTTCTGCTTAGATTGCAGTGCCTTGCACTCACACCAGACAGAGACACCCAAAACCTCTCCCGTTCCTCCTCCCACCGTCCCACACCACTGTGTGGCACAGCCCTGCCTCTCTCTCTGCCCACATCGCCAGGCACTACGTAAACAATGATTTAGCCTTTACTGATTATGTATTAAGAACACCTTTTTCCTCACTTCTACCTGGCATTACAAAGGTGTTTTGATACTCTTTGAGTAAGGGAAGACTTCCGAAAAGAGTTCCCAAAGATTAAAGCCATTTAAGTGTAGGGTACCTCTTAATCTCTTTGCATAGGTTAAAACTAGTATTGCCTTGAAAAGCGGGTGCTAAAGTAAAACATGATTGAAAAACGTCTTCTCGCACCCTATTGCAACACTTCAAACTTCAGTAAATGCAATCAAATTTGGGCTAGCTTTTTGGAGGATGCCCGTCTCCCTCCTTCTCTTCTTCCACATCATTCTCTCAAGAAACAAAAAAGGATTTTTTGCACGTCAGATGATAGCATGAATAGAGCCACTCCAGTTTCTTTTCAGACGGAAAACAAAAATCAGCTCAAACATTCGCTTCCTGAAGAGCAGAAAGGAAAAATAAAACCAAAACCACAAATGAAAACAAAACCAAGAGAATGAGTTTCCATACTTTCAATGTACATTGTTTAAAATGGGGCATTTTTTGGTTAGGGATGAAGTCTTACCCAGGACACATCTCCCCTTCCCTCCAGTCCCCAGAAGTAACAGCAGCAAAATCTAGCTTTTCCTTCTTGATGTTGCCACTATTGCAGTCTGCTTATGCTTTGTCTTCTTGAAAAAAATAAACATTGAAACCTCTGCAACAGGAAAATCAGCCACAGCTTAAATAAATAGTATCTATAAATATTACCTGTGGTAAATATATAAGGCTGCAAGTGCATCACTGGACAGATTAATGTGACGAAAAAGATCTTTTCTGTTACATGTTTTACCCAGTTAAATGTTTATGTTCTCTTTCAAGCGAAAACTTAAATTTCCCAAAAGAACAACAATAAGCTTGAAAAATCAGGTTAGACGTCAGCAGCTGACTATTAATAACTCTCCTCTTGGCTAATATTTGTTTGCCCGGGGCAGCCAGTGTCCATAATCAGCATTCATCTTTCATCTTCCTCAGCTGGGCTGTCTGGCAGGTGCTGGGTGGGGTGAACACCGAAGGGTCTGCGATGCCCATCTGTAGATCAAAAAAGCGCGTGGAGGTTGTCACGCTGGAGTTCTTCGTATAGGTTTCCTGTACTGGGTAACAGTCTTTGACTGTGTAAACGCCGACCCAGGATTCCACTGTAACCAAGCAGAAATGTGGTTATTTTAGATGGCCAGAATGAATGAATGAATGAATGGATGTCTCATGCTGTCAGTCATCAAGCCATTCCTCAAGCAAAGCCTAGAGGCTGGACTGGCCCACAGTTCTGTCCATACGCATGACAACACCACAAAATGCCACAGCACTGGCATAATTTGGACACTGCAATGATCTTAAACCTGAACACGTTGGTGTCAAGCACATTTAAAATCGTAATATTGTCATGGCATCATGGAATCATAGAATTGTCCAGCTTGGAAGGGACCTTTCAGATCACCTATTCCAACCATCAACCTCACTCTGATCAAAACCATCACCAAACCATGTCTCTAAGCACTAGGTCAACCCGGCTTTTCAATACCTCCAGGGATGGGGCCTCAACCACTGCCCTGGGCAGCCCAGGCCAATGTGCAATAACCTCTTCCGTGGAAACATTTTTCCTAAACTCCAATCTGCTCCCCTGGGGCAACTTGAGGCCATTTCCTCTTGTCCCATCACCTGGGACTTGGGAAAAGAGACCGATCCCTGCCTCTCTCCACCCTCCTATGTCACCTTTCAAGTGTACCCCTACTAAAGGACTGTCACTGCTGCTTAGTCCCAGCTTTCGTTGTGTTCTGCACAAGTCTGATTTCTCTCATCTCTCATTGTCACTCACTCACTCCACCAGTAAAGCAATGAAATGCCCTGTTCTCCCTGTCAGCAGCTTGGGTAGCACAAGGAACATTTCACCTTACACTCTGTTCCTGAGATTTAAACCTGTGATTACTGAAAACCTGTGGTCCATTTCACAGTGTTGCTCCTCAACATGGCCTTTGACACTGTGGAACAATTAGTCCTCCCAGCTATGCGGGACATCTCATTCCTTCCTGTGCACAAGAAGTTCTGCATTCACCTACCCAAAGAAGCATTTGTCTTCTGTGGTGGGGACTCCTCTGCACCAGAACTGGCAGCCATTCCATTTTGGTTCCACAGCTTTTGGACCTCTAAAATCTTAACAATTGCCATTCTTAAAATTGATGATACTCACCACGTCTTTAATCCAAACAAATATGACCTTGCTTCATCTTTTCCCATCTTACTGTCTCAAGCACACAGGAACATTCCCAAATACAACGCCAGTGCCTCTGTCTCTTCTTTTAATTCATCCCTTCTATTTACCACAGAAGGTAATGGAAAATCTGTGTCATCATTATTATATGTTCATTTTCTTAATTCCTGTTTCTCTCAAATATTTCTACCAGTTCATTTATTATTCGAAGGCTACACTGAATGCTGATCTCCTCCACATATGTGATGTAGCAAATCTGTCTCTTTTTTTAACTTGAGTTTAATTTCACAATGCGCTTATCTCAGGCGTTCTCTTGCGCTCTTCCCCCTGCTATCCTCTACTTAAACCACTCATCTCTTTCTGCAGTCAGTAACATCGAGGTGGTTTCCTTTGAACACCCTTCGCTTTGAAAATCTCACTTTTAAATCTCTTTATTTATCCCATGCATCTCTCCTGTGATCCTTCTTTATCCCTTCCAGCATACACCACTTCATCCAGTTGGTTCATGCATTTCAGATCTCTCTCTTGATAATGGAAACTCATGAGGTTAAAACACAAAACTACCTACTGTGATTGTAAATCAGTTCCTCTAAGTGATGCCTATTATGGACTTTTTCCATTCCCAAGGAGCCTTATTTTCTCCCACTCGGCAGCTATCAAAAATGCTTTCTTTCTGTCCTTCCAGTATTGTGTGATAACGCTGTGCTAAATCACGTTATTGGAAATAGAAAACCTGTGACATGAAATGCACATACAGCATCTAAAAAAAAAGGGTGTCAAGCTGGGCAATATTTGAACATTCCTCTCCAAGGCATCCTAGTACATCAAAACCATTCAATGAGTTTGGGTTTGAGTATCCAGAAATGAAGGATTCTTTTCCTCAACAAGACTTTCCTCAGAATTTTGAACAGAAAAATAAGGGAAAATATAATGCTACTGAGGTAGCCTGTATCTCCACTGAAACCTTCATAATTTTAACAGAATTATAATTTCTAGAATACAAGCCAAAACTAGCTGAAAGGTGGATGGGTAGACAACTTTAAGACATTATTTGTCTGAATGGTCATACAGAAAAACGCTGCAGATACAAAATACTACAGGATAAAAATCACACATCATTAACTGAAGGTATCTGGATATTCGGTTCCATAAAAGTTCCAAAAACACTGGATCTGAAAAATAAAATTCTTGGAGCGAGTGATAATTTGTCTCTTGTAGAATACCAGAGGATATATCGACCTAGTTACAGAGGTCTAACGAGCTTATCCTTCATTTTCTACTTCATTCTTTCTACATTTTTTCAAGAAAGAAATATTTCCCCCTGGCTAAATGCTCAGGTTCATAACCAGCCTATATATTAGGTGTCTATAATCACAAGAATTGCATTAGCTGCATAAAGCCGTAAATTTCATTGAGGTTTTAAAATTATTTTTATAGTTGTCCGGGTCATCAGTAAACCATAGATGAAATTGAAGCCACTGTGCTAATAAACCACTAGGCATCCAAAACCTAACATACTGGACCTTGGAAAATTCAGCCTACTTTCTTTTATGATAACAAAACTGAGGCACGTGTTAACCACGTCCCTTGCTGCAGAACCAGGCAGTGGATGGATTCTACAACAATATTCGATGGTAGCGTGTAGACACACACCGACACCTGCTTTGTTTCTTTAGATGCCTTTTAGCAGAAATAGGGTACATGCAGGTTTGAATATGCCCTTACTTATATTGCCAAGTCTTCTCCAGATAAATTTGGGATACAGGCTGCTGGATTCAGATGCAAAATGATGCTGTTCCATGCCAAAAATCTGTATGATACAGACCAAAAAGCAATCGAGTCCCTTGGACATATTTGATCCTACTGAGATGTGAAACATTTTCTTATTAAAATGCATTGATAACAAAATGATATACTGTGCATGGGGTATATTTATTATTTCTTCCAGCAAACTTTAGAGAAATATGGAAAGCTGGACTGAAACATGAACAATTTTATTTTTCCCTGCGTAGCAGGGACAACGATTATTATGAAGATGAAACAAAAGCATGCACATACGTTTCCTGGCTGGTTTTCTGTCAGACCATTCCTGTACCATAATTTCATCTCCAGGTCCCCCGATGTAGTACTGATCTTCATAAGTTGAATTGGCAGGAATATCATACGGATCCCATGGCTCTGTCAGAGCAATCTTCGAGCAAAGTTTTGTAACTTGTTCGATCTGAAACATCACTGCTTCTTTATAGAGCAATATATACTCAAAGAATCTGAAACATTAAAAAAAAAAAAAAGACCCAGTTAATATATATAGTCTTTTTTTATACTAAGCGAGGAGCACTGATGATAAGTAAGCTTGCCTTTGACTTTTCAGCGTAAGACCATTTTCACTTGCATTAAACTTTGCCAAACTTTGAGAAAGGCTAACCAGTTGGGTCAAAATTTCCCATGCTGAAAGTTTGTCTCAGCTGACTCTTTCCAAAATAAATAAATCAGCCTGAACTGGTTCTGCCATTTCTGAGAACAACAGAACAACTTTTCTGAGAACAACTGAGAGAAAAACATGTTATTATTCCTAGTTTTGTTTTGGTTTTTAATAACTGTTTCATTAAAAAGCTCTAGTGCCTCCATGTTTTGGAGAAAGGACTTGAAATCTGGCAGGGGAGAAGTTTTTATTAAAAGTTGTCCAGATTTGGCTAAGTTATAAGCCTTTGAAAAAACCTGCTTGCATGGGCTGCATAGATTCAATTCCCCATGAAGCTGGTGGAACCTTTCTCTGTGCTGCTTAGACGTGGTATCTGCCATAGTCCTCTGTGGCAGATGTTCCTTCATGGCAACCCATGTAGCTTAGTGAGACACACTGGTAAGGGTCCCAAGTGCAGAAGTGAGAGGCTCTCCCTCCTAATGGCAAAGTTTCTTTCTGGAAGCCACCGGACTCAAGGAAGCAGTGAAGGGAGAAAGCAGAGGGGCAAAAGAGTAAGTGAGAGATAAGGAGAGGTGTGGAGGTCAATGAGTCTGAGAGGCCAGAAGCTGAGGTCAGCAAAATGGATCGTTAATAAGGATTTATAAACAATCTTCTACAGAGTATGGAGTGACCAAGCTCTGCTCTGAGGAGAGATGATGAACCTCTTCATGGATGGTGTCATCTAGTTACTAGTAATAGTAGTTGGGTCTACCACAACCACTGTGACTTTGCTCTCATACCCATAAAAAGGAGGTGGTATGGTCCCTACATTATAACTGGGGACAGAAACAGGGAGGAACTAAAATCAAAATTATCAGAAGTACCAGCTGATTTTGAAGGCACAACCAGAAACACCAGAGACCTTACTTCTCCAGCATTATCAATCAGATGATGAGTTGTTCTCAGCCCAACTCAAAGGATCCTCATGTGTGCTCTGCACCTTTTGCAAAGGGAAGCCAGGAGTCACTCTCTAAACCCCCCAAAACTGTCCACTCATTATTAGAGGTTTCCTGTGAATATCTCAAGTATTTGGCTCCAGTCCACTGCTAACGCAGTGACTACAGAAAAGGAAGGGATGGTGTTAATTCACTTGAACAGCTTCATCTTGCCTATCTGTGATAGTCTCTCTTTCCATCTGTAATTCCTTGCTTCATCCATGATGCTGCCTCCATTATCTGCCAAAAAAATGGCTTGGGTGTCCTTTGGAATGTGGTGTCTTCCACTTTACAAACTTGATGCTAACCCCTAACAGTACCTAACAATATTCATCCTGTGCCAGCAGCAAGACAATAATCTGGTGGAAAACAGAGCATAATCCATGGAACTGAAGGGAAGATACACAAAAGCAAGAGGGGACCTTCCCTGTGGTATTTCCCTACTCCTGCATATTTCGCTTCGCAGCCACCGCATTCTTTTGGGAAGGATGCAAAGTTTACATAAAATAGGGCTGACGACAAAACAATTTACAGTTTTAATTGCTGCACTATACAATTGCATCACCTCACACACCACCGAGGTGGAGGCATTTGAAGGTTGCACTATGAGAAGTCTCTAAAGCATTCTTCAAAGCATCTGAGCAACATTCCCACTGCTTCTTCAGAGGATCATTCACCCAGCATGTGTGGAAACAGAGGCAGGCTAAACGACATCAGCCAAACTGAATGATGACGAAGAACGTAAGGGAGGACGGGGAGGCTGCCACGAGTCACATTGGGGCCCACCCCTCACTCACAACCTTGCACAGCATGGGGAGGTACCCTGTCCCACCTTCCATGAGGGAGTCAGTCACCAGGAATACCTAAATTCCCCTGTCATTTTCTTAGTCAAAGGCAATGTCTCCACAGTCGTGACACGCTACTGAAGAACTCCATACATACAAACTGGTTCCTTACACACACCCAAGCCTGTAACCACTTAAGGACATATGTAACTTCTATATCACGTTCAGTCCAGAGAATATACTCACAAGAACACTAAAATACACTTATTTATGTGTTTGGAACCAGACTCTAATGACTCAACTACTGTTCAGCTGGCTGCCCAGCAGCTCCCATAAAAGCAGGCTGGGGGAATGCCTTAGAGATGAGCCTATAAATGTGTTTGAGTTATCCTCGTGATAATAAAGTCATTTTGTCAAAGAACAAAAAAGCAATATAGAAGCGAAAGACTACAAAATACTGGGAATAGAATTTAAACAATTATAGTTCCTTTTTATTTTAAATCGTTCTTTAAAACTTATTTCACACAAAAAATTTTATTCACATTTTTAACAATTTGGTCATGTTCTCTTTTTCCTTATTCGTTCCTTTATAATTTTTTTCCATGCAATAAGTATCTTTTATTCTAAAACTTCTAACCTGTGAATTGATATCATTGCATGAGGGACATGTGTCAACTTCAGTCACTCATGTGAAGCAGCAGGTCAAACTTCAATCTGACCAATGCATTTATTTAACTTCCAGCACATGGAATTGTCCAGGTTG